TTCGTCGGTAAAAAGAGTATATATTTCAAAAGTTATACCATTATACTATTGGAGGATAGAGGTGGGAGAGGGAGAGGGAGAGGGAGAGGGAGAGGGAGCCCATTCATTACCCTAAAAAAATCAGTTGTGCCCTGTTTGCGGGGAATTGAAATCAGATACTTAACCCCTGCTTGATAGAGATTAAAATCAGATTTTTAGTAGATTTTGATTAAAATTGATGAAATGTGAAAAGTTGTGAGTTCAATGAAATGTGTGATTACAATTAATTGTTGACTTTGATTTAAGATTTTAATTGGATTTTAATCCAAACCAAATAAGGGTTTAGTAGGTTTTGATAAAAGTTGATGAAATGTGTAGTTAAAAAATATGAATCTTATAGAATATATTATTAAAATTAATTGTTGACTTTGATTTACATTAAAATTTGAATTTGAATTTTAGGGATGGATTGCATTTGAGGAAATAAAAAAAAAAAACAGGTGTTTAAAGATTGTTTTTTAAAATTCAAGTCTAAAATTTATTTATATAAAAATCAGGTAATATATTAAAACTAGAATTCACTAATCTTCCCCTCTCAACCCTGAAGGGTTGCTCAATTGGTCATACTTTGAGTTTACTCCTCAATGGTCACCAGTTCGAATCCCCTCAGAACCACTGAGGTGAGTATCCGGCCGTAAATTTCAGAGTCCCGTGGAATTAGTCGAGGTGCGGGCAAGTTGGCCCGGACATCCACGGTTGTAAAAAAAAAAAAAAAAATACACTAATCTTCCCCTCTCCATTTCTCTCGTCTCTCTCTCTCCATAGCGGCGCCCTCTCTTCCCTCTTTTCTTCCCCCTCTCTTTTTCTCTCGTCTCTATCTCCATCCGTCTCCCTAAAAAATCTTAACCGAATTCAAAACGCTACACAATTCAAATTCCACAACAACAATATACATAAAAATCCGATGAACAAGCTCAAATTCGACATATGACAGAAATTATCAGATCCGAAGATGGGGCAGCGAGAAATACTGACCTGCACAGCTGTTGGTGACGTCAACGGTGCCCTTGAAGGAAGTTCCGAGAAGAACACCAACAACGCGCTTCTTGGTGTCGCGTGCAACTCGGTTGTAGTGGTCGACAATGTAAAATAGTACTTAAAGTAGCTACAAACACGATAATAGTTGAATGTATACATATACTGATACAAAATTTTAAAGACTATCACGTAAGCAAGGTGTATCTCCATGGATCGTGCTACATGTACCGAATTTTTTTACCGAATCTTTTACCTACTACTCACAACGAGGATGATGACCACATTGTCAGAATTTTTAAATACACGCGGGCTCCGCGTATTATGTGATAAGGGGTAATACATTATGTATAAATGGATTAACCCTATCTCCATTCATTGAATCCCTTCTGCTCTTTCACGCAAATAGAAAATGGCC